CTCAGAAATGTAATGGAATGAAACATTAATTAAAGCCTAAAGCACTGCCCTCCACACGGAGGTGGTACAATAACTGGCATGTAAATGTGTCCGTGGTGGAGGAAGGGAAGTAGTCACAAGATGACTCAAGCAAAATTATTTGGCTCCAGAAAGCATGATTTGCATAAATAAAATAAAATTATTGCATGCTTTGGAAATTAAAGGCATTCTTTACTTATTATAGTGCAAAAGCTAATTATAGTTACTGAAAATGTTTGCTATTTGCTTATAATAACCACCTCGATGTAACATAATTAAAATGACTGCCAGCTCATTGGTGTTGACAGGCATTAGTAAGGACCATTTCCAAGCCTGTGAACCTGTGTAAAAGAACAGCTGAGCTGAATCACATGCAGGGTGGCCTCCTGCATGCCAGAAATGCCAAATTCACACAGGGTTTCTACTCATACAATGAGACAGATGATTCTTTACTGATGTTCCAGAATTGTGATCAACACAGAAAGCATTCATTGATCCACTGGCCAAACAATATTTCAAGACCTTACTCAGTGACACAGCAGCAGCCGTAAGCCTCTGCTCCACTGGAAGCCTGCTACAAACAGTCACCCACAGTGGGGAGGCACAGCACCAACAGAAACGGACAAGTGCAGGTACCCCAGCAGCATAGTCATGCTGGAGCACAAAAGGTTTGATGCCAAAATATTCAAGATCTGAGAGAGCAGGAACTCATGTTAGGCACCACCTGCTAACACTTCGTTCAAGGATTGAAACAGCAGTGAAATTTCTGGTTAGGTACTCTGATGATTTTCCTGGCCTCATTAAGTAAAAGACTTTCACAATGATTTGGTCCATACAAGCTGAAAATGTCCGTCAAGTTTAATTCTTTAATCATGGTCGTAACAGTTACTTATTTGAGATTCTGAGATGAAAGTAAAATGAAGGAACAGGCCATCCTTTCGCCTAGACTACAAGGATTCCTAATCTGTAGGAAGTCCATTATGAATTCTCTCTCCTTCTTTTCTCTTTGTGTATTAAATAAAATCATAAATCCCTACAGACATATGCACTGGAGTTGCAGTAAAGTTCCCTTCCACAAGATCAAGAATTTTAACAAAAGACATAAATTCTGATTCAGCCTTGAATCATAGTGGCAGCTTCTCAGTGCCCAGATCACTGCGTAGTTAAAATGGAAAATACTCCACTGCAAACCTGTCTAGACTTCACATTAAATATGAGGCTGTTACTTCATTTTGACGGTAGGTTTATTTTATTTTTCATTAATTTTTAGCAACTTAGAAAGTCTACTAAAGTAAAATGTATAGCACTCTTGGAAGTGAGTTAAGCTGTCATTTTTTAAAGCACAAGCAGCATACCATAGGAACACTCAGGTTACCTCAGGCTGAACTGTAAAAGTTTGCATTATGTATTGAAAACAGTAGCGCAGGAGCTTTTCACCTGTAATTAGGGTTTTTCTCCAAGGTGTATCTTTATGCACCTGCTTTCCCCCAACATGAATGTTACAAAATAAACGACAAACCTATACTTTCAAAATAATACTTTTCCAGAGTTTCACCACATCACTGCGAACAACATCACTATACCTATGAAGAACAATATGTCTCTTTAGTATGCAATTCCCTCCTTTTTATTCCTATAGAACAATAGCATAAGTATCTGATGTACCATCAACTTACAAAGCCACAAGGTTGATTAAGGTTTCATAGAATTTTACTTACAGAACTCACAGTATTAACAGAACTCATTCTCATTCTCTCATTAAGGTGGTGGTGGTGGTGGTAAGATGAAATGTGATCTTTCAAAATTACGTGACTGTAAAAATAAATCCAAAACATTTTTTTTTTTCATATTTTCAACACATAAATTATGTCACTGAATCATGTGCTTCTCTTTGTTGTCTGCCATCATATGCCCTGTTGCCCCGTCAACTGCAGAAAAAATAAGAATAAACCTTAACATCATTACACCTTCATAGTGTAATAACCCAATGTTGTTTAATAAAATTACTCAGTTGTATATGTAATTTTAGTGGTTTACCCATTTAGAATTCACTGCAGCTAAATAAATCACAATACCTGTTAAATCAGCGCACCACATACAAATTGACGTTACTTTCTCACTGAAGAAAAAGGATCTCCTAGTATTAAAGACATCCTAAAAGTGGCTTTTTCCTCTCAGAGCTGTTATTAATACTATCCTATGATTTCTTCATAGGTAGCAATTTCAATGCAAAACATGTGGAATGTGGTTTCTGTTTCATTATACAAATTCAACAACATCAAAATCAATGACAGCAAAAACCTCAGTTAACTAGCAGTGAAGACAGAGGGGTCTGTTTTCAAATCCTGAGAGTTAATAAAAGAATATTCATTAGGACATCTTTATCACGAGTGTAACATTTCCTAATATTGTTTTTGACTTTCTCACTATGCCTGGGTTCTTTAATGAAATCCATTGGGAGCAACAACACAAAAGGCTTACCAAAACCTGCTTTCCCGAACTACTGCAAATTGCATTTGATTTATCAAAAACTAGGACCCTCTACAAAACTTGTACTTGAGAACTGAGCATTAGTATTTTACAGGTTGCAAAGAATTTGGACATGGATAACAGAGGACCCTGTGGTTAATGATTCTTAGCAGTAATTATGGTTGAGGCAGTATTTGAAGTGTCTTATTAAGCCTTTATTTTCACAGTAACTTAAAAACCCCCTATTTTTGCATTATATTTTCTAGTTGCTATATACTCATCTGAGAACCATGATTTAATATAATTTTGCTATTTACTATAGCATTTGCCTCAACTAAAAAAAATAACTTTTGACCTACAGACAGTAATTTAGAAGGAATGTAAACCTGCCTAAATGAAAATTATATAGCCTCATGGTGTCATTGATGAATTAAAATCAACAATTCCTCTTCCCAGTTTGTGACATTAACAAGATATTATCTAGGTTAATCTGTTGACTGAAACAAACACACAGCCACTTAATTTTCATGATGAACAAGACATTCCAAAATGAACAAGAGCAATCCTTTTACCTTTGTATTTAAAGATCAACAAAACCATGCAACTTCAGTGCCAAAAAATCCTCCCTTCTCAATGTAACACTGTTAGTGAGATTTTCCACATGCAAAAGTCATAATACGCAGCTATAACCTAATAAATTTCAGCAAATTTAAGATAGAAAAGTTTCACCGAGTTGTTTAACTTACTAAATACATTATATAACAAGTAACAGAGATTACTACTTACATGCATCTGAATTACCCTGAAAAACTTTTAACAATGATATTAAAAGAATGCTTGGTTTTGCATATAAGCGCTTCTCCTTATGACTCTTAGAGAAGAAAACATTATCAGGGCAATCCTTAAACCTCTGCCCTTTTAGAACACATACTAGTTGAAAATTAAACTACCATGGGTAAATGTGTTTTTTTGATTTGTTTGTTTCTGAAGTTAATGCAAAATAAATGCATATTACTGATAATGGAGGAAGATGAAAATGCATGTCTGTTTCCATCACTCCTAAATTACCCTAGCCTTGATGAAATGAATAAAAGCAATACACTTTTCCAATCCCTTCATTTAACAGTGCTGAAAAACCACTTTCAAGAATGCAAGGTTCATTTTTGTGCCTCAAGGCAGAATAAACTGTTGTTGGGAGATTCTTAACAGATATTTGCCTATCATGTTATAAAGAACTGCAAGAAATGCCTCAGCTGTAACTTGCTAAAAGCTCAGAAAATAATTGGATAAAGTATCACTTCATGTTTATTACACTCGTCTCTAGGCCCTTGCTATTACCTTTTGTCACAAACAAGGTATGCAGTTAAACTGACCTTTGGTCTGATTCAGTATGGCTGGAAGTCTGAAGTTTTGCCACATGTGGGGCCAGATGGCATCCACCCAAGGGTACCGAGGGACCTGGTGGAAGAACTCTCCAAGCCACTTGCAATCATTTATCAGAAGTCCTGGCTAACTGGTGAGGTTTCAGTTGACTGGAGATGAGAAAACATGACATCAATTTACTAGAAGGGCCAAAAGGAGGACCTGGGAAACCACAGGCCTGTCAGTCTGACGTCGTTGCTGGAGAAAGTTATGAAGCAGATCATCCTGAGCACGATCATACATACGTACAGAGCAACCAGGTGATCAGGTCCAGTCAGCATGGGTTTGTGAAAGTCAGGTCCTGCCGGGCTAACCTGATCTCCTTCTATGACAAGGTGACCTGCTTGGTGGATGAGGGAAAGGCCGTGGATGTTGTTTACCTGGACTTTAGTAAAGCCTTTGACACTGTTTCCCACAGCATTCTCCTGGAGAAACTGGCTGCTCATGGCTTGGATGGGTGTACTCTTTGCTGGGTAAAAACTCGGCTGGGTGGTCAGAAACAAAGCGTGGTGGCGTATGGAGTTAAATCCAGTTGGTGGCCGGTCACAAGTGGTATTTCCCAGGGCTTAGTATTGTGGCCAGTTCTGGTTAATATCTTTATCAATGATCTGGACAAGGGGGTCGAGTGCACCCTCAGTAAGTTTGCAGATGACACCAAGTTGGGCAGAAGTTGATCTGTTTGAGGGTAGAAAGGCTCTACAGATGGATCTGGACAGGCTGGATTGATGGGCCAAAGCAAATTGTATGAGGTTCAACAAGGCTCCGTGCCGGGTCCTACACTCGGGTCACAACCACCCCACGCAATGCCATGGGCTTGTGGTAGAGTGGCTGTAAAGCTGCCTCGCAGAAAAGGACCTGGGAGAGTTGGTCAACAGCCACCTGAGTATGAGCCAACAGCACTCCCAGGTAGCCAAGAAGGCCAATAGCATCCTGCCTTGTGTCAGAAATAGTGAGGCTAGAAGGACAAGGGCAGGGATCATCCCCCTGTATTTGGCACTGGTGAGGCAGCATCCTGAGTACTGTGTTCAGCTTTGGGCTTCTCGCTACAACACAATGTCCTGGGTTGAGTGAGTGGTGGAGTTTTCTGATGGCAGGGGAGGGGGCGAACGCAGTCCCCCACTACCACAAATTATGCAGTCGAGTTTCCTGCATTTGGGGAAATCGCAGGGGTCAGCACACCCGGAGTGCAGGGGATGAGCCTCACCCTGGCCACTGGGGGAGGAGGTAGAGATATCGGAGCCACAACATTGAAGTGCTGGAGTATGTCCAAAGAAGAGCAACAAAGCTGGTCTAGAGAGCAAGTCTTATGAGGAGCAGCTGAGGGAACTGCGGTTGTTTAGTCTGGAATAAAGGAGGCTCAGAGGAGACCTTACCAGTCTCTACAATTACCTGAACAGAGGTTGCAGCAAGGTGGGTGTCAGTCGCTTCTCCCAACCAACAAGTGATAGGATGAGAGGAAACAGCCTCAAGATGCACCAGGGAAGGTTTAGATTGGATATTAGGAAAAAATTCTTCACTGAAAGTGTTATCAAGCATTGAAACAGGCTGCCCAGGGAAGGGGTTGAGTCACCATCCCTGGAGGTATTTAAAAGATGTGTAGATGTGGCACTTAGGGATATGATTTAGTGGTGGACGTGGCAGTGTTAGGTTTATTGTAGGACTTGATGATTTTGAATGTCTTTTCCAAACTAAATGATTCTATGATGTGATATTCCTCTGACAAACCACAACTGAGGATTATTTGGCTGTCAGATAGTTTCCTCAAAAGGAGTAAAACTTGATAAAACTTTTATGTTTCAAGCCTCACTACTGAACAGATAACAGAGGCAGATACCAAAAACCTAAAATACCGCTGATGGATTTGAAAAAAAGCTGAGATCATCTGATTCCACATGAATGCCCTCTACCCTCTCCACTGTACATAATGTGCCTGCTGTCAGTTACCATTCTAAGAAACTAAAGTTTGTGAAGAACAGTAAAAATAAATAAAGCCCGGAGTTCAGCCAACTGCCTCCATTCAGCCATAAGCAAATGAAAGTATAACAACATGACAAGCTTTACGTCTGCCTTGGCCTACATTTCATGGTCCCCCTGCTGAGATCTTGTGGCTGTCAAGTGCTCCTGATCATGCCCCAGTGATCCCAAACCTCTTCAACTCAGTGGGTGAAATATCCAAACTGCAGTCAGCAGATGTCTGGCTCACAGTCAGCAGAACAAGACAGCACCACATCGTTAGCAACAACAATGGAACAATGTCAGCACAGAAGGCAGCAAGTGTAACTCTGGCCAGTACTACATTACGTGCACTAACAAAAACCAGCAGGATCCTAAGAAGACGTTTGACGTTTTTGCTATGGGCAGAACTGCTCAGGTTCTCATAACTAAGGAGCACTCCTAACACTGACTGCAGCAAGAACCCCAAATACTCGGGCTCTTCAGGAAAAAACCCCAGCATTTATCTCTGGTTGCATTATCAAATAAATTAGCGAAGAATCTTTGAGCTCACAGAACACGAGCCTTTTTGGGGATTCAAAAATGTTACTCTGTTTCCAAGAATAAAGCAAACACACTCTTGCAATCTAAATAATTTTCAGAGTAAACAAACAGTCCAATTAACCTCATTATCCTCAACCTCCATTTAAAGATCCCAGTTTTCCCCGTATCTCCCCTGCTATGCTTCTAGCCTCATCTACCAGCAAGCACAGCTGCAAATTCAGGAAGGAAAACGCCCCTATAAACAGTGATGCTTCGGTTTCTTACATTCTGCAAATGAAAATCTCTCAAGACCTTCATGTTTTGGCTTCATGTGGTGGATGACTTCTTCTAAAGTTTGCTTAAAACAGGTACCGCATCTCCACATTCACCGCACTTTCAACAAGTAGAAAATCCTGCACAGACTCAACACGGCAGATCACAAAGAATGTGAGATATATGGCAGCTGCCAAACCACACTCAGTTTGCTAAGTCTATGGAACATGCTAAAATCTGCACACATCACACAGTGCAAGTGACACTTACTAGAGTCTTAAGTCCACTTTTCTGAAGTTTACCTATCAGTTGTCTCAGTCATCCCATTTCCTAAATTAATAACCTCACAGACAGCCACTATATTCTCCCTCATATGCCTACAGCTTTGTTACTCTCCCCTTGCACTGCAATTCTCTTTCATCTATATTCTCTAAATTCCTCTGGCCTTCTCCCAGGGCATATGCAGAAAAAAAACATGCTGGAACTGGAGTTCTGCCAAACCTAAATTCACGGACACTTAAAGGAATTCCAACTGTCCTCAAATCAGACTAAAAAGATTCCCTAAAGATGGCTTATGTTTAATTCTTCTTAAGTAGAAGACTCTAATGAATTTTCCTAATTTATTGCAGGAGTAAGGCAGATCTAGGTTTTCACAGATTCATGCATATTTCTCACTACATACTGGATGTCACTATTCTACTGAGAATCAATTAGCCCAAATATTGTTATAACAGTTACAGGAAAATTGTATTTTTAGCTACAATTTATAGTGTTCTGTCTCTTCCAAAGCAATCTTCATGGAAATACTGAAAACTTCAAACCTCATCAGGTAGTGAAAGAAAATCTCTTTGACAGAAAGATACATGATTGGGAGGATTTTCTAGAAGAAAACTCACTCTTTACTCTTAGCTGTACCCTGCTACTTTAGGAGTCCAACTGAATGTATAAGCAAGCAAAAAGCAGCAAAAGGAGGATTTAATTTAGTTGCTCTGTTTCATTTGATTCAATTGTAGACAGTGACAAGCAATGCTCTCTTTGGCCATTTAATACAACAGATGCTAAACAATCATTTTCCATAGGCTGTAGCATCACAAATTCACCATTTCTGACACACTTTCATTAGCAAACACTCCCCACACCCCCTTCTCTCCTGTCCTTTCACAACTACCATCAAAATTAGAAGAAACGTAGCAAACTGGGAGAGGACTTACAAGGCAAAAGTCATATTCTGTGTGCTGCAACACATGTTCTTACAGTAACTGTTCCGAGAGCCAGACTCCCTATCATACACATTTGTGGCCCAAAGTAAAAACAAATGACAAAATGTGAAGACACCCCTCTTTTGTAAACTTATTTCCCCTTGCCACGAGGGAAACTGAGAACAGGAATACGAGGAGAGACAAGTAAGTACAAAGGACAGGCAAAATAAACAGAATAAATGAAGTGTGTTAGGGGTACCACATAATAACAACATCAACTGATTAAAAATGGTAAGTGATTAGAAAGCAACAGAAGCTCCTCCAACAGCAGTGGTGGCATTCCCTTTCAAGACATGAGAAAAAGGCCACCTATGTTTAGTAGAAAGTCATGGAGCAGCAACAAGTATGCTATTTACAATAGAACCACACTACTCATGTCCTAGAACTACAAATAGGTGTCACGAAAAAAAAAAAATTAGAGGTCTTTCCTGTTTCATATGATGAACTCTACTAACATTAGGTCTACCAGATCCTATGAATAACAGTATGTGAGAGTGAGGCATCATTTTCAGCCTCTTCTCTTTACACAACTCCATTCTGTCCACTGCTGACAGATGTGGCTAAGAAGGTGTTCTAGAAAATGGTGTAAGCTGTTTGTTTCCCAAACACATTTGAGCTTGTTGCTCAGTTCATCGGTAACTCTCTACACTCTCAAATGAAACAATCTGGACAGAGGAAGAGGGGAAAGTAGTACTTCAGATGAAGCCTCTACTTCAAAGAAAATTATGAAAAGCCAATTGGTCTTCATATAAAAGGCAGTTCCAGAAAAGAGAACTTCCTGTCTCTTATCACATTCATTTTTTTTGAGATTAGACCAACTGACTCTATGATCGGACTCAGAACTCTCATTTAATTTAACTTTACTACTCAAAATTCACAGCAAAATGTTTTGCAAAGATAATATTTTACTGGACTAAAAGGTATTCAGGTTTGCTTTCCCATCACGGGATATAAGGACTTCTGTCCTAGCAGCAATGAAAGAGTTACATTTAAAAAATAAGCAGCTGCAGGCCTGTCACTATTCAGTAAACAGCACCAACATAGCCTACACAATGGCAATGAAATCACTGTGCAGTTATAAAAAAAAAAAAAAAGAGCTGAAAATGTGTCTGTTATCTCTCTATAATGCACAGTGACAGCCAAACACAAACATATTTTCAAGGGTATTGTTGTGAGCACTGCAAGGAAAATCTACGTGTCCAGATAGATCCAATCGCCTAACATTAAACATTTTCTTATTCTCACCCAAAGTAGCAACTAACAGATTCACAGTATTTATCCGTTGCTAGCCTGTTACCATACAGGCCAAGAGAGAAAGAGTATTTCCTACTTTCCACTATATTGCCACACAGCTAAAAATTGAGCAAAAAATGTCCCAAAGATTAGAACCCCCAGTGGCAACAAGACTAAGAACTTTGTATAACAGTGATTTACCTTCACATCTGGGTGATTTGGGTGCTCCCTTATCATCCTTGCTACAATGCTTTTGCTCTACCACAATCCATCCAAATCTCCTTATGTTGACCTTACATCCAAATCTCCTTATGTGCTTCTGGAAACAATTTATTTAGTGAACACACACTCTCACTTTTTTTTTTTTTTCCCTCATCTTCAGTTGGACAACTGCCTAAAAGACGACTAGTGAAAAACCTACCAGTTCTATTTTGTCTTGCCTAAGTATAATATGGAAGATTATACCCAAGTATAATACTGAAACAGTTTCCCAATTTTTAATTCCCACTTGTAAGAGTCTCAAGCCTGCAATGTTTTCTGTATTTGGGATGCTGGAGTTTATCCTCTAGGAGGTAAGCTTAAAGTGAAATGAATCGTGAAAACACAAAAGTGAATCCTTCAGCAGCAAACACAGACTTGGCTTTCCTGTTCTTCAGTAAACCTGGGAACTGCAGTGGAAGTATGTTCATACAAACAGGACACCAACTAATTTTGTTCTCTTGTAGAGGAAGTGGAACAGAACAAGACATTTTTCTAGCAACAATCATTCTCTGCCCAAACTTTCACTTCTACGGAAATGCTGCTAAAATTGATGTTGTTTACTAGCCTACAATACCCCATTCTTTGATCCTGAGGGAATAACTCTGCAAGTTGGCAGCTACTGGCACTTCCCTGTTTACATGGAAAACAGAGATGCTTGGTGGCAACTGTGAAGAATCTGGAAAGAAAATCTAGCATTTATTCAGTATTTCTAATATACACCCAAGCTAATTTTAAATTCCTTACATTCGAAATCC